TTACCATGACCTGAAAAGGATGATACTCGTAAAGCTTTTTCTAATGAGAACATTATAGTCAATTTAGGAAGTGATGATGGGCTAGTTGAGGAAGAAGTAACTGAGAATGTTGAGGTCGAGTTCGATGCGGAAGAAAAAAAAGTTCGGATTCGAGGGCAAATCCTTTTGAAGAAGTGGAGAATAATATGATCCAGCCATGCATCGATGTTAATGCCGAGCTAAAAAAAAGTGTAAATTCACATTGTGCATGTTGATGAGATGGTGGTGCCTAGAGAGATGCTTCAGTCATTCTCTACACAGAGGTTTGAGGCATTGGGGCTTCGAGCTACAAAACACCCACGTTCGTGTAGGCTTCAATGGTTGATAGATGATGTGTTATGTGATGTATTAACCGTATTGCACTTGGTCGACCATGGTAGTATGATAATAAGGCGAATCCCGCATGATCGAGGAACATATATACATTTGAAAAGAATGGTGGACTTTTTACACTTGCTTCTTTTGTGTTGCTTCAACCATACGATGATCAAGATCGCACTTGGAGGGTTGTCATTGAGTTTGAGAGATGTGTTAGTTTGCTGCCAAAAAGAGAGATGGATCATGAGATTGATTTTATTTATACTCTTTTTGATATTGGTCCGGATTCGAGGACGAAACCTTTCAAAGAGGGGGGAGTATGGTACGATCCTGACAAGCTCAAGGATGAAAAATTAAATGAAGGGAAAGCGTGTGAGTTTAATAAAGTTTTTTGTGTTCTGGATGATAATAATCAACTTAAATAAGGTGGTTAGAGAGTACATATTGATATATTGGATGAAAAGGAAGAGAGAAATTTGTTGGACAAGCCGAATTCCATTCATCTCAAAATTCCCGTATGTTTCTGGCAACTTTAATATTCAGGTTATAACTCTCTCCTCGAAGGTTCAATTAAGGTGATTCAAATTGCTAAGGAAATTCATTGGAAAGAGCTACAACTTTCATGTTTTGAGGGAAGAGAGATTCAAAGTGGAACATTGTCGAAACTGAGCTTGAAGTTTCTGCACGTACAAAGACAAATAACTACGAGAGTTTAGAAGGGTGATCGTGAAGTCGACTTGAAGTTTAAATTATTTAATTTAGTTAATCTTTTTAGGATACAAAGTTTTAGGGTCCATTTGATATAAAACCTTAATATGGAAAATAAATAGGACTAGATTCATCCCTAAACTTCTTGTTTTGAGATACCCCTGAAGAGGAAAAAAAAAGACTATGCTGTCATTACATGAAATTTTTGCCGTAACTGCATTCAACATTTTCATCAACTGCATTTAGCCTTTTTTTGTACTGCCATATATATATATATATATATATATATATATATATATATATATATATATATATATATATATATATATATATATATATATATATATATATATATATATATATATATGACCACACATATATATCTCTGGGGGGGGCCAAATATATATATATAAAAATAATGTATAAAATATATATAAAAATATGTATTCTCTTTTATTCGAATATAAAAAATATTGCTACATGGTGGATATAAAAAAATAGAGACTCGGACGCCGCGCTATATATTTTTTTTTTTTTATTTTTTCCCACAACTCCAAAAAATAGGAAAAAAAACTCTCTGTTGTTTTTTTTTTTTTTTCATATATTTTGTGGTTTGTAGGTGCACAATTTAATAAAAAAAGGTGGGTTTTTTCCCATATATACGCGCGTATATTGGGCCTTTTTTCTCAATAAAACATAACGTGAGTCTCTCTCTTTTAAGGGGGGGATTCTCCCCTAGGCCCACCACCCACCCCGAAATATATATCTCCCACTTATAAAGTATTTGAGATAGGGGGGGGGGGGGGGGGGCAAAAAACCCCACCCCCCTATATATAGGAGAAAAAAAAAAAAAATATGGGGGGGGGGGG